TGACCTGTTCGGACGGGAACTCCGACTCATGGATTACCCATGGGGAATAGTCCGCGCCGCGATACTTGCGTTCAAAACTGCAGGGACGAGGACGTCCGAAAAAAAATTCAAGAATATCTGAAAAAGCAACAAGCACCAAATCGACGGATATAAAACTGAAAGTTCGAAATAAAATACGTCAAGAAATTCACACGACTTGGAATATAAAGCTAAAATCAAAAATCGAAAAATCAAAAATCAAAAATCAAAAATATAATTTTGCACGGAATGAAAATAAATTTTCAAGGACGAAAAAGAAACATACATGACTAAGTACCCCGGAATATCACGGAATTTCTGCAAATATAACGACGTAACACTGTCGCGCACATTTCCAAACATACGAAACAGATAGAAGATGAAAGACCTAAAGCAGTGGAAACGAACCAATAAAGAAAAAGTACTCACCTGAAAATGAAGGAAAATCCACGGCCATGAATGCAAAAAGCGTACCCTATATGAACGAAAGAATTGGAAAGGAAGAAATTAAAAGGACAACCATCACTACCATTGCAAGTATACCACGACCACTAAGGAAGAAAAGAGAAATGAAAATAAATGTCTCTACTTGCATCGAAAAGAAGAATGGTATGGAGATTTTTCTTCACATATCAGAAGTATGGGAAGTAAAAAGAAGATTGACACAATGTATCCTATCACCATTGGACATAAATCCTGGAGAAACTTTTGTGGAATGCCGTAAAATCTGGTGTGAGAAGACCCGAAAATTCTTTCCGGAATCGAATCACTACGAAATTATACAACAAACGAAATTTGAGATCACTCAATTGGCCAAAAATACGTATCATGGATGTGGGTTGAAGAAAATCGCAGAATGTGATGAACAGGGATCATACGAAAATGCGTATACAATTCCAAAAAACAAGGACGTCACCAGACGCCGACCAATTGTGTCGACATATAAGGAGTCATCTCGGAAAGCATCAAAGGTACTATCAAGAGCTATCAACTTCATGTGTCAAGCATTGAAAGTTGGTTTCTCACTAAAAGGAACRAACCAACTACTACCTAGACYGAAGAAATGCAATCAAGTAGCAAAAGAAACATACGGGGATATGGCTACGATAATCTGCTCCACATACGATGTCAAAGATATGTTTTCGAATCTCGATCACACACATATCTTAAACGTCATGCAATGGATGATGAAAACGGCGAAAGAAAAACGAAAAACCCACTTTTGTTACAATATGAGAGAAAAGTACATGAACTTTGGAAAAGCAAACGGAACCTACGGATGGAGAACATTAAAAATTGAGTGCCTAATGGATTTGTTGTACTATGACATCAAAAACGCATACTTAAAACTTTAAAGTACAAGGAACATTATTATGCCAAGTAATGGGGATACCAATGGGGAAGCGCTCTAGCCCACCCATTGCCAACATAATATGCGCGTTCGACGAGTACAGATGGTGTGCGCAGACTGGAATTGATGAGAAACTTATCCACGATATGAGTTTTGTGGACGATGTAATGATGATCATAATAATAAATAAGGAAGATCAAATGAAAGAGTTGGAATATCTGAAATATTTTCAAACATGCTACCATCAATCTCTAAAACTTGAAATCATATCAGACAACGCAAACACGAAATGAACGTATCTGGAAACAACGGTGACGAAATAAATCAACGAACAGAATCATAAGATATGATGAAAGTAGCTCCAGATTGAAGGCATGTTGGAAATCGACGACGACAAGGACAACACACAGAGCGACTGCGGGAGATCCTGAGGATAGATGATGAGTACACTGCAAGGATAGGGAAAGTAGCGGAGAAGGACTGGGAACAAACGGTAATCGCGACTGGTCTCGCATGCCATGGACATTACGTGTATGCTGTGAAAGTAAAACCTCGCACGTTCTGTTTACATTTGCATGTGTTTATCTTTTTCTCTCTCTCTCTCTCTCTCTCTCTCTCTCTCTCTCTCTCTCGTGTTAGCTCTTAGTCTCATTGATTTGGCTACCTTAGGGCTGCGTTCCCCGCGCCCACGCAGTAGACAATTTGGTGAGTTTTCACTTTCAGAAGAATGCGTGAGAAAACCTGAAAATTGGAGTACTCATTGATTTTGTTGTGATCTTTCCAGGAAAAACCATAAATAAATTTAAAAAAAAACATTCCAACTGCGAAATAGATCGCGGCGGCAATTTGACCCATATTTCAATTTTGTCATTCAGCCTCTCTCTCTCTCTCTCTCTCTCTCTCTCTCTCTCTCTCTCTATCTATCTATCTATCTATCTATCTATATATACGTATATATATGTATATATATATGTATATATCGTCGCAAACAGAACTGCCCGGTAAACCGTAGGCAGAGAGAGAGAAGAGGACAACAAACGAGGGGTTGGACAAACTGTTTCGTCGGAGTTTCACCGACTCATCAGGAGGCTGTATATCTTTCTTTCTCTCTCTCTCTCTCCCCCCTTCTCTCTCTCTCTCTCTCTCTCTCTCTCTCTCTCTCTCTCTCTCTCTCTCTCTCTCTCTTGTTCGAGCTCTTAGTCTCATTGATTTGGCTACCCTTAGGGCTGCGTTCCCCGCATCCACGAGGTAGACAATCAGATTAGACACAAGATTGAATTTACCTGGGCTGGTTATTCCAATGATAATACCTCAAGGCCATCACCCTTTAAAAAAAAAAAAAAAAAAAAAAAAAAAAAAAAGACCCATTTGAGGTTTTGGGCATGGTTCACATCACACTGCTGTCCCTTTCCAGATGGGACAAGGTCGCGGCCGTCTGGAGAAATGGGGATCTGGTACTTGTGATGGGGATTTGATACTTGGCTGGTCACACGGCGCCATCCACAAATTGTGCAATAACTTTTGTGAACGAATTTTTACCAATTTTCAAAGAAAATGCAAAAAATGAAATAGGGCATTTGCGGTCACCTCCAGAGGTGACGGCGAAATCCCTTGCCGGGCTTCCCAGGCCGCTGACAAATGGGCACATGAATAGTACATCTGCGAACTTGGTAGATCCGTGTGACCGCCTTTTCCCCTTTTTTTTGGGATTTTGGGAATATAGGTCCCCGTGTGAGTATGCCCTGAGGGTGGCGACACAATTTTTTCCGACTGTAATGGGTAATAATGGCAATGAAAGAGACCTGGGGCAAGGTCCCACTTGCACGGATTAAGAGATTCTAGCCGTTGATCTCTGCTGTCTACGGTCAATATCGCTTAATTCGTGTAAGTGGGACCTAGCCCCTGAAAGGCCGTCCTGTCCAGATCCGACAGGCAGTGAGTGAATTGGTTAGGCGCGGTCTGAGTTCACAAGAACACGTGGACGTGGTTGGATATTGTTATTCTTCACAAGAACACGTGGAGGTGGTTTGAACGTTGTTATTCTTCATTTGATTGACTCGTGTTCGGAAGCATGTGAATGGCTCTTCGAACAAAAAAAAGAAAAAAAGAAAAAAAAAAAGAATGGTTCCTCGAGACATAGAGAACATAGTGCATGGCCCATGCACAAGGATGACACGCATAACTCGGAGAACCATGTGCATGGCCATTGCTTCTTCCTTTCTTCTTTCTTTGATCAGGATCCAAGGGCCTTTTTTAACAAAAGGGAAGAAAGAAAGACATCCAAGGGTATACAAACTGTCTCTTATACACATCTAGATGTGTATAAGAGACAGGTGCATGGCCCATGCACAAGGATGACACGCATAACTCGGAGAACCATGTGCATGGCCATTGCTTCTTCCTTTCTTCTTTCTTTGATCAGGATCCAAGGGCCTTTTTTAACAAAAGGGAAGAAAGAAAGACATCCAAGGGTATACAAAGGCTAACGAATTCAACCCTCTGTCGAATCTGACAGGACGGCCTGCTCTCCACCACTCGCTAAATGGGACACAAAAAGCTGAAGGTGAGCATCTTGCCACGCTCTTGCACAAGATACACGCGCCGTGTTCACATTTGATGAGAAGTGCAGCCACGGCCAATTACTCGATGTCCCTCACCCGACGCATGATCGCGAGCACGGCGTGCAAACGACCTCACGCATGATCGCGATCGCGGTGTCTGAAAAACTTCACGCAAAATCGCGATCGCGACTAAGGCGCTAACGAGCAGACAGAGCTATCATCGCGATCGCGGTGTCTGAAAAACTTCACGCAACACCGCGATCGCGACTAAGGCGCTAACGAGCAGACAGAGATATCAGGGGGAGCAAGACAAGGCGGACACGATGTCGAAGACGGAATGACGAAGGGAAAGAGAAAGGCAAACTAGAGAAGGCGGGCAGCGACAACTGGCTGACACGCATGCACGCGCGCGCCGAGAGAGAGAGAGAGAGAGAGAGACAGACAGACAGAGAGAGAGACAGAGAGAGAGAGAGAGAAAGAGAGAGAGGCGGGAGGGGCTACTGTTTTGATGTGTGTTGATGATGGCGCGGCGTTGTACTGTGGCGTATGATGACGTCAACATAAAGTTTCACTACCGTCTTTCCCCGAATAGAACGGACGGCCATGATAGCTGTATTTGGGGCAACTTTCAGTCTAGGAAGAGGGATCATGACAGTAGCGACAGCACATTCCTTCTTTCTCCTCCTCGCGTCCCTATAATAAAAGGCGACGGCCTTGAGATATCATCATCGAACGGACTGGCCCTAGGTAACTCAAAATTATAGCAGTTTACTCATCTCATCTGCTTCCATTGGAGTTGGAACTCAGATCTGTATTTCAGCATTTCAGTCCAGGGGGGTTGTACCAACTGACATCTAGGCCAGTGTTAGTAAGCAGAGCTCATTTGCATTCAACGTGATTTGGTGAAACGAGGGTTAAACAAAAGACAAAGGGGGGAGTGGGGGAAAGTGGGGGGGTGAGAGGGGGGATTGGAAGAAGAAACATGTGTACCCAAAGAAGATCAGCAGCAGCCGCAGAAAGAGAGTGTGGCGCGTTATCTACAGATCAGACGGATGGCAAATTCAATCAATACATGATGATCTGGTAAAAGAAGAGGCTAAAAAGAGCAACAAGAGGGGGAGGGGGAGGGGGGAGGGGGAGAGAAGGGGAACGAAGAAGATGTCGACGAAAAAGAGCAGCAGCAGCCCGCGAAAGAGAGCGGCTACCCCAGTGAAATCATCTGTGGACCCAAGTAGGGGTTCTCCAATCCCTTCGAGTAATCTGAGGCCTACTCAAGGCTCCACCCCATCTAAGAAAGGCCAGGCAGGCCGTAAACAGGCAGCGCTGGAAGAAGAGCGGCTTAATCAAGAGAGAGAAGAGAGAGACGAGTGCATACGAGGGATTCTGCAGTTGGTTATTGAGCGCGCCGAGCGGGAAGTCGATTGGAAATCCATCCAGCCCAAGATCATCCCTTTTGCAGTGCAAAGGGCCTGGAAGGAGGTGATGACAGTCATGAGGATCTGCTTTGTGCCGCGAACCCGTGATTGGATGGAAGAGAGGACCGTGCTGGACAATTGGGGGACAGAGGACGTGGAGCCGCCCACGTGTGCGATCGACACGTGGGCGACGGAGGTGATTCCGGTGAAGAAACGACGAAGAAACACAGGCGAAGAGACAGAAGGGCCAACGACGGCGACACAGCAGCAGCCAGCAGCTGGTGGAATGCGACGGAGGAGAGGGTCTATTTCACGGGGAAGGGTGAGCATCGAGAGCCTGCCACCGGAACAAGTAAAGAGTCTTAGCGAGGAGTCGGTCTCTCACCCGAGGCTGTCTCCTAAATCTCCTCTCAGCGATGAGGAGAGATCAGAGGAGGAAAAGCTGAGAGAAGAAGTCAAGGCAAGGAGAGCAAAGGAAGGCATCAAGAACCTCAAAGGAGAGTTGGACGAGGAYGAGGCGAAGCGGTTGGCCAACCTGCATCGTGTTCTCAGAGGCCAAGACTATAGCTATGGATACAAAGGAGAGGTGGTGTTGATGAGCAAATGGCAGCCGGAGAAGCTACCTCCCTACGCTGTAGATCTGAAGATCAGACTGAAGGACGCAGAACCTGCAGTGGGGGCGGGTAGTGGCAATAAAGGAGGAGGAGGAGGAGGAGGAGGAGGGGGAGGGTTGGCCGCAGAGACGACAACAACAGCAGCAGCAGGAGGAGGTGGAGGAGGAAGGGGAGAGGGAGGAGGGGAAGCGATCACGAAACGCCGAACAGGAGATGCGGCGAGTGCAGTCGAGAAGCCTGCGGCGATGACCGCAAGGGGTCGGAAGGAATCAGGGCTTCCGCAGAGGGAGAGAGAGGGGATTCAGGTCGAGGAGGAAAAGGGAGGGGGAGGGGGAGGGGGAGGGGGGACAGGGGTTGCCATGTCAGTAGAGGCCCTCCTAGCCTCCATGAAATTGGCGACTGGAGTAACCGTGAGGGCGGGAAACTACTTCAAATCTGGCGGGAGAGCGAGTGGGGAGGGAGGTGGAGGCCCATCCTACGCGGGAGGATTCTCGGATTTTGCCGGGGTGCCGTTTAGGACCAGAGCAGCAGTAGTAGGAGGAGGAGGAGGAGGAGGAGGACGAGGAGGAGGGGACGGTTTGTTGTCCCCTGTTGAGGTTGTACCACGGTTGGCGGGAGATGAAACACGATCGGTAGGACGGATACCACTGGGAGTGTTCCCGCCATCTACGCTTGTAAATGTGAGAGCCCGGCAAGTAGGAGGAGGAGGAGGAGGAGGAGGAGGAGTGTTATCCCGACCTAGCCCAAGGAAAGGAGACGGGAAAGGCACAAAGCTGAAGAAGACGGGGCTAATGGCTGAAACGAGAGATACCAAGCCAAAGGGGGGGTTGCCAATCAACCCCCCTAGGGAGGGGAGAGCCAAGAATCGGGCAGATATGGCGAAGCTTCAGAAGGCTCGCACTCCGACTAGCCGCAGTCCCACGAAATCCCTTGATCCCCCTCCATCGCTGCCTCACAGAGTGTCCTCCTATCAACGCCATCGAGCGGTTGGCAATGTCAGTCGACTGCCAAGGCATCGACCTCATGTTCAAGCTCCAAGCGTGGAAGCCATAGCTGAAGCTTCCCGCCATCATCTTCTTCATCAACAAGAACGCTCTACGCATCAGTCTCCCGTCCGCCGACCCGCCAAAACTTTGCTGCCATTTGGAGTGATTAAAGGCTTGAATCGCTAGCCCATAGCTGCTGCTGCTGAGGATCTTCTTCTTTACCCAAAAAAAAGAAAAGGAAAAACAGAAACGAAAGATTCATCGTCCTTTGAGCTATGGTGATGTCCATGTCGGCGCTTTTCTTTAACTTGTTCGTTCGTAAGCATGGTCGCATTGGGATTGGCCTCGCCTCTCGCTGCACATTCTATCCTATTTTGCTGTTCGATGGACAAGGACGCTCAGCGCACCAGTCTCCCGCCGTGTGCGGTGGTCACCCCTACCGTCTTCTTTTCCCCGAACACAACTCACCCTCATCATGAAAGTATACAAGCGATCTTTCCGGTCCCATGCCGTCATAATAAGGGGGCGTTGTGTTCGGGGGAAGATGGCAGTTTGCAGGCATTTAGGGTCAGATCCCATTACCCTGGATTATTCATTTTTCACCCTCGATTACGAGGATCAACGGTTAGAAATGAACGATAGGGGCTAGTGGGATCTGGCCCTTTGAAAGCGCAAAGGCTGGAATGGGTTTACCCCCTATTGTCTTTTTTCTCCCGAACACAACGCACCCTTAGCATGAAGGCGTACAAGCGATCTTCGGAGTCCCATGCAGTCATGATGAGGGTGCGTTATGTTCAGGGGAAGAGGTTAGTTTGCTGGCAAATGGGGAGCGCAAAGGCTTGAGTGGGGTTTACACCAAGCTGCGGCTTCCGACCGTCCTCGTCTTCATGGTCAGGGCGACAGGATTGTAGGCGCAGCAATCTCCTGTGCAGCCGTCACCCTGAAGTTGGCGGGCCTTTGGAGATCCCAAAGGCTAGAATAGCGCGAGGTGGGATGGTCACCTCCAAGTTAGTTCTGTTGGCCTTTGGCTATCCCAAAGGGTGGGATGGTCACCTCCAAGCTAGTTCTGTTGGCCTTTGGAGATCCCAAAGGCCCACTCTTCCTACAGGACAAGGCTCTGCAACCTATTGTGGTCATCATCTGTCCGAGAACCGGCCATATATAGAGCTGGATTAGGGGAAAGAAAGGCATGGAGCTTGATTGATTGTGTTGATCTGGTACTTCCGCAAGTACACCGCCCCAGCTTGGCAGAAAGTTTTTTGTCGCCAGAAGCAAAACTATGAGGGGCTGCGGCGTGGGGCACCGTTGAAAAAGAAAATTGGAGGCCTCCGAAGTGGTGTGGTATACTTGTGCTAAGAAATACTTAGGCTTAGAGGGTGGTCCCCCACAGAATTCAAACATGGCACGCCTTTTACTTCTACTTCTTGAAAACCGTTGGACAAAATATACAGGGCTATCACCTTCTCTGGCAAGACTTTCCAATCTTTTCTAATTTGCTTGGATGGTATTTAGAGCCTAAGTCTGCGTTCGTTTGCCACTACTAACGGAGTCTCGGTCGATGTGCTTTCCTTGAGCGTTCGTAGGATTGTCGTATTCATCCTCGCAAAGCAGAACATGTGGTCAGCTGCTGTGGTTTTGCTGCTTACACGTGGACACACAATTTCTTTCAACAGCAACGACCCTCAGCACAGTTCTGCATGTGCAGGTCACCCCCAAACTTGCTAACCTGAATAGGTACTGTCGTACCCCAAACACAACGCATCCTGGTCATGAATGTCAACAAGCTATCTTTTTTATCTCATACAGTCCTGATGAGAATGCGTTCCGTTTCGGGGAAGAGAGGAGGCACTATTGTTTTGCCACAAATGTCCCTCCCCGTTGCATTTTGTCATAATAGTCGTCATCATCCTCGTCATTTCTTCAAGAATGCATCAGATATGGAGATCGATTGATCCTGTCATCAATCACCATCATTATCTGCTGTATGAGAATGGGTGAGATATGGCATTGTATTAGGGTTTAGGGGCTTGGGGGTTAGGACTTAGGGCTTGGGATTTAGGTTTTACGGGTTAGAGTTCGCAGCCCGTCAGGGGTGCGTTTTCCCCCCCTGAGACATTTCCTCCCCGAGATATTTTCGTCGTCCTTCGTTATACCGGTCGTTGATTCGGACTCGTTTGGTCGTTGGAAGGTTCGAAAAATGCACGCAGGTGCAGGCACGACATTTTTGGGGGGTGGTGGCAGTTTCTTTGAAAAATGCGGGACCGGTAGCTGCCCGTGGGACCGCTCGCTGGGTTTTGGTCGAAATGGTGGCAAAGCAGCGGCAGGGTGGATCTTGGGGGGGGGGGTTGCAGTTTCTGTGAAAAATGCGGGAGCGGTAGCTGCCTGTTGGACCGCAGGCTGGGTTTCGGTCGAAATGGTGGCAAAGCAGCGGCAGGGTGGATCTTTGGGGGGGGGGGGCAGTTTCTTTGAAAAATGCGGGACCTGTAGCTGCCCGTGGGACCGCGCGTTGGGTTTGGTCAAAACGGTGGCAAAGCAGCGGCAGGGTGGAAAAGTGGAAAAGTCTGAATCGGAAAGGGCGCGGCCTTGGCCGCAGGTTGAAACGACACACCTGCATTGCATTTGCAAGTGCAAACAAATGTCTGAACGTGGACGTATTCAACGCCCCATTGAGTGAGTCACATGTGACAAAACGACTTTTATTTAATTAAAAAAAAAACTTATAACAGCAAACACTCAAACACACACATATGCGACATATGGACCAAGACTCACGGACCACCAGCCTCGATACCAACTATGAACCGAGGTATGATTCAAATCCCACACATTCCAACACTAAGGGCCTCGTTCCACACCACTTCACTCCACTTCAATTTCAAGTGCGGCACTCGAGCCGCGTCACAGGGTAATCGTCATTAAAAAACACTTGAGCCTGGCACAGTTTGATGTTACACTCCACTCCACACTCGAAACACGAGCGGGAAAGTGGCAGAGGCTGTTGGCGCGAGGGAAGGGGGGATGTAAAACAAAAAAAGGAAAAAACGGGGGGAACGTGCAGGGCCTACAACCGCCTCCTGACTCTCACTTGCGCCGTTTTGAAGTGCGGCTCAAGTGTGGTCGGAGAGGTGACTTGAAAAAATCACCTATTCGCCTGGGCCGCACTTGAGCTGCACTTTACGTTTTTGGCGGGCGCCGGGAGAGGCGGGAAGCCTAATCGCGATTAGGGAAGGTGAAACTCAAGTGTAGTGCAGTGTGGAACGAGGAATTTCTCAAGTATTTCTAAAGTGGAGTGGTGTGGAACGAGGCCCTAACAGATGTGATAGTCCACGGGAGCAGCGCTGTCGGTAGCGCAGCGCCCCGGTATTGGCCTACGCATGGGGTTGAGAGTGGTGGGGTGCCAGACTCTACGCACGACGCGAACGGTTCGGTAGTGGCAAAAAGTGTGTTATGCGCCCTTGGGGGGGATGGTTTAGGATCTCCCCACACAAAAAGGCACGTGGCGGTTTAGGTTCGTGGAAGGAACCGAAAGGACAATGGGATTGATGGGAGGGGGTGAAAAAATGGAGATTGGGTGCAAGGTTATGAAGGAAGGTGATCTAACCTGATGATCAAACTAGATCCAACCTGATGATCAAACTTGTACTATAGGCAAAGTGTTAACTTTTAATTTGGTTTTCAATCTCTGTTGGTGTGATGATCTTCTAAGTACACATATCATATTACAAATAACTTTAAATTTCATTTTCTTATGGTTCTCTTACATATAATTGATTGTTGGATTAGTCCACGTCTAGTTTGTTTCTTATCTACTGTCAGAGTGAATCTGTGATTTTCTTCTCAAATGTTTCTCAACTATGTCATAATCATAGCGGAGGTTCGTTCTTTCTATTCTACTGTCCGAGTGAATCCTTGATTTTTTTCTCAATTTTTCACAAAATGTCATAATGATAGCGGAGGTTCGAGAATCTACTTTGATAATTAATTTTGGATATCTAAACCTAAATTCGTATCAGTTTTTTTTAATTGCATATATCTGATTTTTACTTTTACAATTGAATTCCTACGTTTTTTTTAGTCGAGATACGTTGTTTTTTCAAATTTTGATCTTTTTTTTTTTGCCAGAGTCTCCTCAGAGTTTTGAACAGGGGTCCCATGGGATGGTCAAGTGGAGCATCTTGTAGGGTCTTGGGGGATTTTTTTGAAGTAGGCGGCAAAGGGCATCAAATGATTCTTCGCAAGGATGGAGAGGGGATTGAATAGGGTTGTTTAACAGGTATCGACTAGGGGGAGCTCTTATCAGCTGATGAGGGCGAGCTTTGGCGCGATTGGCGTTGGGTAGTGTTGTTTAATAGGGTTGTTTAACAGGTACCGACTAAGGGGAACTCTTCTAAATAGGGTTGTTTAATAGGTTTGTTTAATAGGTTTGTTTAATAGGGTTGTTTAATAGGGTTGTTTAATAGGGTTGTTTAATAGGGTTGTTTAATAGTTGTTTAATAGGTTTGTTTAATAAGGTTGTTTAATAGGGTTGTTTAATAGGGTTGTTTAATAGGTACCGGCTAGGGGTACCAGCTGATGAGGGCGAGCTTTGGTGCGATTGGCGTTAGGTAGTGTTGTTTCACCCCCTTGAGGACGGAGATTGAAATTATTGTGGGGGCAAGGAATTTCTGGGTGATGATGGTGTCCGCCCCCCGATGAGATGAGGTTCTCTGGACTCTTTACGAGGACAGAGTTTGGGAGGACGAATGAGGTTCTTCCGTTTGATGATGGAAGCAGGATTGTTCGGGTTGTCTGTTTCAGGGGTTGCTTGCTTTTTCTAAATTTGTCCATTATTTTGTCATATTTTTGTCAGAAGTTTTAACAAGAGCCCCATGGGATAGTCAAGTGAAACATCTTGTAGGGTTTTCAGGAATCTGTTTTGAAGTAGGGGGAAGGGGCATGGAATGATTCTTCACAAGGACGGAGAGGGGGATGGAATAGGGTTGCTTGACGGGTACCGGCTAGGGGGAACTCTTATCAGATGCGATTGGCGTTGGGCAGTTTAGGCTGCCCGATTGGTACCGGCTGATAAGGGCGAGATCTGGCGTGATTGGCGTTGAGTAGCGCTATTTCACCCCTTTGAGGACTCAGACTGGAGTTCTTGTGGTGGCAAGGAACTTCAGGGTGATGACGGTGCTCACCCCTGCTGAGAAGCGGTCCTCTGGAATTCTTTACGAGGACGGAGTTAGGAAAGACGAATGAGACTGGGATCGAAGGAGTTGGGGTGGATGCGATTGGCGCCAAGTATCTTGGCGATCTTGGCGGGTACCGACCACTTATTTCTAACTCCACCTGGATCATCTTGAGGTTTTTCCTTTCAATGATGGAGGCAGGATCTTTTGGGTTGACTATTCCAGGGTTTTTATGTTTTTTCATATTTTTCAAATTTGACCTATCATCAAAGGGCGTCTCTACTAAGTTAATCCCCTGGTTTCAGGGGCAATCAATATTGGCAGGGGGAAATCCATTATTTTTTTCTCAATTTTTTCTATATAAAAGTCGAAGACAGGTAATGGTCCTGGTATTTTAAAAAAGATGGAAAAGGGGGGAGTTAGAACTGGAGCATGGGAGGCAGTAAGGGTGCTCTCAACAAATGAAGGGTTGTTTGTTAAAT